TGAGACCCACAGTGTAGACAACATTTCTGGGGAACACTACTATATAAATTAATGGCTTCCCCCAATAAACGTTTTACTCAAATTAAGGGATCCTTGAAGGGGAAGCTAGTTGCTTCTGATTTGTCTAGAGTATTCTAAGCACACAAGAACAGCGCAGTCCTCGAAGGTGAAGTAGTTCTATGTACGTAACTTGACAGCACCTTAAGATGACTCTTCAAGGTCCCCTGCCTTGCGCCTCTCGTTCCGATCCCTTGAACAGGCCACGTCAAAGTGACCCGAAGCAGAGGTAGGTGGAATTCTGGGGTGCACAGGGAGAAGCTTTTACCATTTAACACGAATGTTGGAACTTGTTCCGGCTGGTGGAGAGAATGCGCTGTGTAGATGTTGCTTGGTCAACCCTGCTGTGGGAGACGGCACGAGGGCCCCCAGCCGCGTGGGAGAAAGTGCCCACGGCCCCCACTCAACGCCACACTGTCATGTCCAGGGTTTGCTTCTGGCAGACCTAACACACTTGAAAAGTTATTCTGAAGGGTGGTAAGTACCACGTTTACATTGATAATTCTCCATTATTATATTTAAATAAAATTAAAGAGCTGGTGTGTTGTACAGGAACAGACAGGCACCTCCAGAGCATGACGACCAGGAAGATGCTGGGGGGGCGGTGAGTAAAATGAGACTTTAGGCAGCACGATGACGGGGACACGTGGCCTCAGGGAAAGAGTTCTGATGTCTTTTATGTTGGAATGGGCCAGCTCTCATTTCGGCATTTAACCCTTTGGAGGTGGGGTATTTCTCTTAAATGAATTCATGAGTCAATACAAGCCGAACTTGGGTGAATAATTTTTATCTGAGCAGTAGGTATCTATCACCATCTTCTGTTTTAGAGCAAGCATCTCAGCTTGTCAAAAGCGAGGAGGAAATAAAGTTTTCTTAATGACTAAGTGCTCTCTGCAATAGCACAATCTCCCCGTGAATCAAGAAAATACACAAGCTCTTTTTCAAAGTGCTATAACCCAATACCTCAGTGCTTACAGCTCGTCTTATATCCATTTGGTCAAAACTCACCACTGGGGGGCAGGAAGGTCATCGGCTTGGGTGAGGGACGGAGTATTAACCATAACAGGGTCTGGGAGGCAGCAGGAGTTTGGAAAGTGGACAAGCCGCAGGGGAGAGGGAGCTGCCCGCACCTTCCAGAGCCCCCTTTGGCATGAGGGGGCCGAACGAGGCCTGTCGGAGGTGGGGGAGAGGGGCGGGGACCTGGAGTTAAAAGACTGGGGCAGGGGAGGGGGCGGAGCCCCAGCAAGAAAGGAAGCCCCGCGGGGAAACGGGACTGGGGTGTGGAGAGCAGGGGATGGAAGGAGGTCCAGCTATTTCTTCCAGAAGCATTTTAACAAGGTCAAAGGGTACATGGTGGGGGTGGGAGTAAAGGAAACAGAAGAGGCACTGCACGGATATCTGACTTTTTCTGGATTTCAGAGGGGGGGCGGTTGTCCGGGGTCAGACACTGCCCTGTGCTCAGCCAAGCAGAGCCTCTCCCAGGAGTTCTCCGGGTTCACTGCCTTTGCTCTGCTCCGTGGTCTCCTTATTCTTAAAGAGCTTCCCCTCTAGGCTCTACCTGGTTAGTTCCTATTTATTCTTCTTGGGCTTTTATTTTCCTATTTATTCTTTCAGGTTTAGTTCACATTCTTTGTTATGACTCTTTCTGGCAAAATTGTGTCTCCCTAGCATCTTTTCTACTGACCTGTTCACGGCTGCCCTAGCATCCCGTGCGGTGTTCTGTCTTCTGTTCTAGAAGTGCGTGCTGTGAGAGCACCTATCTCTCCTGCTTATCTCTGTGACCCCAGGGCCCATTCAGTTTTCTTCTTACTGAGACTAGTTCCCTAATTATGCTGAGCGAATATGAACCTTAACTAGGACAAACAAGCCTCAGATATTTTAGGGCTCTTAAAGAACAGAAATTATATCAAGATTGATGTATGTTCTTAAAGTATGGGAAAGAACTCTATTGTGTAGACATCTGGATTTGGATTAGATTTGATTTTCATTCCAAGTCTGGTCCATCCCTGAGAAACAGATACCAAGATTGCATGAACCCTACAAAGTATTTATAATTCTGTTTTCAGAAACTCTCTAGGAAGGAACACCAAGGCATTCCTCTCATTCTTTTTTCCTTTTGATTAATTCCAATTAGGAGATATACACAAAACACGTCCTTTCACCGTAGCCAGCTGAATACCACAGTTCGTACTCAAGCTGGCATAGTCAAATGCAGAAGACAGAAGTAAGTCTGTATGAAATAACTAATGTTAACCACTGCTCAAAAATTTACTTTAACAAAACAATAATTCATAAAATAGACATTAGAAGAGAAAAGTAGAGTTGAATTCACACATACAAGATTGCATGCTACAAAACCTGTAGTTTCTGAAGACAGGATATGAAAGATTTAAATGGAAACCAACCAACTTCTCCTCCCTGGATGATGACAAAGTAGAGAATCTGCCGTCGCCACCGTAGCTGGAATTCTGAGCACCAAAGAAGAAGACATTTTAATGGTGAGCACCTCCTTGCTGTTCCAAGAGCACTGCCTGGCCCATTCAAAAGGCAACTATGAGCTAACACAACCAAGCCAGTATTAGCACCCCAGGAATGTTGATCTATCTAGAATCGAGACAAGTGTTACAGCAGAAATTCTTAACAAATGGAGATTCTAAGCTGTATTTTATATTTCAGTGTCAGGTCTCAGTGACGCCATGGGTTTATCTATCACTGCTTTTCACAATTTCATGTCTCTAGTACTACTTATAATTACTTACTAAATCTCATGCCAGACCGTCTATAACCTCCAAGTCTGACCTGTCCTCACTACATATCTCCTTAAGTAACTAAAATTCTGCTTATTGCAAAATTTTTGATTTTCCTTCAGCCCAGCCCATCTGAAGGTGACAGCTCAGCCCTGAAGCTCCAGGAAGGCAGGCGGAGTCTGAGAGAGCCTGCTCCCACCTGTCCAGGTGAGAGCCATTATCCAAGGAACCGCCCTGCAGGCTGTCTTTATGGTGTCTGGAGTGGAGTCAACCAAGGATGTGGAGGGAGAGGTGCCATGTGTGGGAGCTACAAATGGAGGCAGGAGATGGCAATCAAAATGATCAGTTCTGCTACGGAGACGCTGGGTTCCTGAGACAGGAAACAGATATTTCCAACTCTCACGTCAGTCTTGTCCTTTTATTCCTTCCCACCAACAGGTATTTTCCTGTATCCATGAAATTTCTCATTCCCATCCAATCTTTCCTCCAAGCTCCTCCTCACACCGTCTCTGGAGTTTTCTGCTCTGGGATCTTCCCACACATGATGCTGCCTAAGATGTACATTATTTTGTTCTTCAATCATTATACTTTCTGATTATTTATTAAATCAATTTTATAGCCAATTATATTCAGTGGTGAACAGTTTTATAAACAGGTCCTTTTGTATTTGATTTATAGAGGTGTTACTTAAATCTTAACCAAATCATAAAGCACACTGCCACAAACATGTTGCCAACTACATATTAGGGATATTCTAGAGAAGAATTAATATTAGGTAGAAGTTGGAATAAAGAATTTCTAAAGTAACTTCCAACTCTAAACTATGATTTTTTTGTGATCAATTATGGTAACGCATTTAGGTAACTTGCAAACTAGTCAATAAAATTCCAATGAGCGGTTGAGAGGCCATCCGAAAATAACTGCAGTTCTTGTCCTGTAATGCTAGTGCTGAGCAGTCTGCAGGAATGCTGAGCATGGTTAGCAAAACTGTCAACAGCCAGTGTGCACAGAATGGTGAGCTGAATGTTCCTACCTCTGGAATGCTGTATCGCCTTAAAGAGAAGCATAGCAGCGCTGGGGGAAGTTAAAGGACGTCCATGTAAAAAGCAACACCAGTAGGAGGACCTAGCCCTTAAACTTGTTTTTTCAAAGTCTGGAATGAGAAGAGCTTGGGTGAAATATAATAAAAGCATATGCAATCCTGATAGGAATAAGAAAGTAAAAACCTGATCAGCCAGTTCTAGGAAGCTAAGACTGGGCTGGGGTAGGAGGGAGGTGGGAGGTGGTCACCCATTAGAAGCCTAAAAATACAATTTAAGTATATATATATGTGTGTGTATATATATGTATGTGTGTACATATATAAAATATCTTAACATAAAATAATTCAGATCACCTAAAAGAAATACTATTTTACACAATCAGTAAAATGTATTACTAAAAGAAAAAAATGAAGCAGTAAGAACAGGAAGATTTTAGATCATTTAACGTAGACTGGACCTGTAGCAGATCAAGAAGCTTAATTAAAATGTTCCAGTTTAACCTTTTAAAATCCCCAATGACCTCCTTCTTCATAAATCCAAAGGCCCCTGACGCCCCCGCCACTGGCGTGGTTCCCTCCCTCCCTCTCTCTCTCTCTGGAGCAGGGCTCTGCTCTTCTCCTCGGGCCCCTCTCCTGCCCGCCACCCCTCGGCTGTGAGCCTTCCAAGAGTTAGTGTTCAGTTCTCTTCCACTTCCTCTCCAGGAAAATACGGACTGTTGTGTATGTGTCTTTAAGACAAACATTCAATGAGATTACAAATGAGAGATGAGTGAAGAACTGAGAAAACACTGGATTTAGTATTTCTGAAAGCTGGACATACTTAATATGCACACTATACACAGACACCTGGGGCAATAAAACAATGACAGAGCTAATCTTTAATTTTAGATCTGTTTAAACTTAGAGATTCTTATCAGTATCTCTTACACTAACGTTCAGAATGTCAGATTAACATTCTAGGAATGTTTGAATACTAACATTCTGAGAACGTTTACTAGATGAAAAACATCTTCCATTCTATCATGCGCTAGGAAAAAAAGACAGCCCCATCAGAACATTAAAAAAAAAGCAAAGAAGCTAAACTTAGCAATAGGTTTTAGAAGCTTTAAAGCAGCCTGTCTGAATTTCGTGCCATGCAAATTTACTATACTAACCCTGCTAGATCTTCTTTGCAGGGACTGTGGTCCGTGTAATTCTCCATCATAACCATTTGTCTGTTTCAACGAAGAAAAGAGAATAACTGACGTCAGCACACAAATGAAGACACAGGCACAAATCAGCAAGGAAGGGGCAGCCGAGCATGAAGTGAGCTTTCTTAGTGAGCATGTGAATGACAAGCAGGCGGGACAGTGCCAACCCCAGCAGCCCCCAGACTGCCTGCAGGCCTGCCCTCCCCTCCACCGAAAACAGCACAGTCAGTAGGCTTCCTGTCACATGTCACTCTGGGTCTTTAGGTAGCACCCAGTCCCTCCCGCGGGGTGGACACGTGTCCTGGGGCAGCTGCTCTCCCCGAAGTTTTCTCCTTTCCTGTTTTATGACGGTGTCACGGACATTTCGCTTCTGAGCAGGCCGCGTACCATCCCTGCCCCGCAGGCAGCGACTCGGCCTGAGTCAATGTGTTTTCAGTTCCTGGTCCAGGGTAAGTCCTTGAAAATCATGGCCCACCGTGAAGCTATATTCAGAAGATTCAGAAATGGTTTCTATTCGATCCATAAATGCAAAAGTTCATCGTGGAAAAAATGTTCATCGTGGGGTATGTCCTCTATAGCGGGTTTTCATTCATCCAGTCTTCCTATTTTGTTTTTCAAAATGAAATCCAAGGACATATTTAAATGATTTCATAATTCGTCCTCCAGAATGAAGGAGAACAATTATGTTCAGTGCATGCCTACCTTCCCTCTCTTCTCAGTTCTCAGCCCAAGGTCCCCTAAGCCCAAGCATGGGCTTTCTAAAAGTGCCCTAATTAATCTTCAAGGAAATCTCTGCCGATCCAAGCAAGGCAAGAGCTGTCAAGCACTGGAGACAAAACCATCTCTCGAGACAGAAAAAGGAGAAGCAGTCTACGTAACTGGTAAAAATGGAAGGGGATGCCATTAGGTCATGGACTCGTGTCCAAATTCCAAACTGTCATGTGACCTTAAGCGAGTTATTTAGCCCACTTGAACCTCCACTTCCTCTGCAGTAAAAATGTGCGTAAGAACATATGCTTTACAAGGCCACTGTGAGGACTAAACGCGATGAAAATGAGATTGCAAGCACCTAGCACAGGGCCCTGGTGAAGCGTGTGCCGACGGGACGGGTATGCGAACACACGTGGAGGGTGCCCAGCACGCAGGAGCTACGGGACATAGTTTCTTGTCGGGGGTGATGTTTAGCACATATTTGGCAGCCATGGCATCAACACAGAATAAATAACTGAATTTCCAGATAGATTATAAATCCAGTTTCATGAAACCTTGACTATAAGACTACATATTTACCTTTGCTACAACTCAAAAAAAAATCAATGAATTTAAAGTTTTGAAACAAAATGTAGAAATCCTTCCACATTAAATTAGAGAACTCTATGAGTAACGTTAAAACATTTCTGAAATAAACTTCATAGTAAAAACCTCTGGAGATTGGCAGGAGATTTACTTAGCCTCATTTCCTTTCGTGTCTTCACCGACAAGATGATTTGACATGAAAATCCATGTCAGGACTTGTGTATTTCAGACCTCACCTTTATTCCCTGGTTATCTCTTCAGAAACTAGTTTCTGGAAAAAAATTAATATAATAATGAAGGCTAACATCTTTCAATTTTAGATGACTTTTCCTTTACTAATAAATGAGGAAGAAAAATATATAAATAAGCCCTCTGGTTTTTCATTGTTGCTTATAAAATGCAGACTGCTTTGGAAGAATTCTTCCTTTTGGTCTTTCCATCCTCCAACTCGGCCTGCAGCAACAGCTGGGAGGGCAAACGCACCCCCTCCTTCGTCACCATTTCTCTTCTAGCCTTCCATGAAAATGCAGGAAAAACTCCTGCTTTGCAGGCTTTGTGGAACATCCACCCCGGGCTGTGGAAATGGGATTCTGTCATAGGGAATGTATTCCCAGACTATGTTCCTAGAATGTGTCTTGTTGACTGTATCTCCACAGTGAAAAGTACTTTGACCTTCTTCAAGAACACCACTGACTTTCTCCTCTTGTGTTTCCACGTGTTGTATTTAGATGGGTGGGGCTGTTTCTACGTGGCATAATGGAAGGAGAGATGACAATAAACCACAACAACATTTGAATAAGAAGTCCATAGACAGCATATTAACTTCATGTTTACCTAGCTCTGCGCTATAGAATTCTTTTTACAACACTGTACTGTGTGGCTTTACGTGGTACACATGCTTGTTCACTTTAATGGTTCTACGCTACCAGGCTGTGTTTTGGGGGGCAGTCTGCAGACTACCTGCATCATGGTCACCTAGTATGCTTCCTTTTTTTTTTAAAGAGACAAAGTCTAACTCTTTCGACCAGGCTGCAGTGCAGTGGCACAATCACAGCTCGCTGTGACCTCAGACTCCTGGGCTCAAGTGATGCTCCTGCCTCACCTGGCATGCTGATTAGGAGCATGGGCCCTCACCTAGGAAATCAGAATACCTAGAGGTAGGGCCCAGGAGTAGGAATTTTAACAAGCGCTCCAGGTAAATCTTACACACATTAACACTGAGAAACACTGCTAGAAGAGAGAACAAAATAAAGAGGACATTCATGAATTAGCATTTTCTAATTTAGGATAAGATACAAGAGTAAATGCCCTAACAAAGCCAGTTATTCTAATGGTAACTCGTGATTAGTCTGAGTGCTAATGCTAACGACCACCATGCAGTGTTAACCAAGGCATAGGTGAACTTCCCACGTGACCATGCGAAAGTCAAGTGTCCACTTTTTAAATTAATGTTAATGTCTATTTTTCCACATGAGTCGAAAGAAAGATCACATTTAAAGGGCGTTAGAGATAGGAAAAAATACAAGAAGGGCAAAAATCAAAACTCTTGAGTGCAATACCTGATGCATTCAATTTTTAAAATAATGAGACTTGAAATAAAAACAAAATCCAAAATGTGTTCCTGACCATTGCTAACATATACATCAGGGACTAGCCCTTGAACAAAATTTACTTTGAGCTTAAAATAAAAAGAGTAATAATCTAGAGACACAGTGCTAATACACTGAATTCCTTAAAGAACAGCGGAGTCGCTGCAGTTAGTGTCACAGAAATGCTGTCATCTACCAGCACGACTTCGGAAGTGCTCGTGGATAAGTAAGGCATTTTGTGAAGGGCACTTTCTGAATCTGATTACAGGTCTCTGTGCTTTCCACTGCCCTCGGCAAATCCGAACCTCGCCAGGCGGGCTGCAGTGGCTTAGCGGGGTTCGCTCCGGCCTCCGCTCTCCACTGCTGAGCGCAGAACAGCGGCCCCACAGCAGGCTCAGAGCGCCACATACGCTATGCACACGTAAGGTAAAAGAATTTGCTGAATAATTTTGAAACGCAATGGAATAAATGAAACACGAAATGCTTTTACGTAAAGTCCTTAATGTGAAGCAGTGTATAATCTGCTCTAATAACTTCAGTACCAAATCACTTTAAGGCTGAACTGTGCTTTCTGGTGAGAAATTTTTCTTCTTTCAGGTGTAAATTTTACAGGTTTTCAGGAAGCGTTAAGACATGGAAACTCTCATAGACGGGACATACGAATAGTAATTCTGAATTTAAATCTAAACCCTTTGTTTTTCTTCCTGGAACTGGAGTCTTTCCTCAAAAAGTACTTTCTGGCAAAAGAGCCAGATCATGCATTTAATTTGAATGGACACAGATTAGAAAATAATGGATTTTCCATTAGGTAAAATGACTTCACGTTTAGTCTTTTGAAGGAGATTTTGAGGCATCAGGAATTCTTGATCTGAGTTCCTTGAGAGCAGACACTATCTTTTTCATCTTGGTATGCACAGCTGCTACTCAAGGTGTGGCAAACAGCTGGTGCTCACGCACCATCTGGTGAGGGAGTTTCATGCACCAGTGCCGGGGCCAGGAAGACAGGGCTGCACCCAGAAGGCCCTGCAGGAAGACTGTGCACTCCAGAGGGTGAGCCTGCCCTCCCGACATCACGGCCCCCCAGGCAAAGACTGGCAGAGGGACACAGATGTACTTGGGTTTTTAGAAAAGCATTCATGAAATCAGTGGAAACGCCATAGGTCATTAGCAGTCACACCACACGGTTAAGGTCACACGGCAAAGTTTATCTGAACATCTCACCCAGGCGTAGGGACCCCCGTACTCCAAGTCGGGCTGCGACTGTCAGAACAAGGATGGGAGAGGAAAACAACAGAAAAGAGAGTTGCCAAAAATGAATTAAAAAGCTAAATAAAACAGAAAAACAAGCAATCTTCAAAATCTTAACAAAGGCACTTTTCCATAACCTTTAGGATCACATGTCTATTTACAAAAAGAGTTACAGTAGAATGATAGCTACCATAAAATCCAGTAACATTAACTAAAACTACCAGGGCAAAGGTTCCTATAATTTGTGAAATGTGAAACAGTACAAGAAAGCTTACTTCCTCCTCTGTATCTTACTTACATTCTGATTATATTAGGGAAAAGGGTAACAGATATATCACCGTCATTTTTTAAATAAAGGAAAGTTAAAAACTTATGATATCCAAAATCTAGATTTTCTGAGAGGACCATCCATACAAACACCAGGATAGTAAAATCCCACCCACCACCTTTTTTAGGGTTTATCATCTTTGAATGAAGAAGGCCTGTGTTTTGACAGGGAAAAAATAAAAAATATGATCTTATAGCAGGACTTTACAAAGTAAAGATTTCAGAATATTAAAATACGTGAAAGCAGAACAAACTGACCATGCACAGAGATATAGCGAGACGCAATTCCTTTCAGCGGGGGTCGGGTGCCTTGCTCGGCTGCAGCAAGCGGCACACACAGAGAGGGGGCAACGCAGCCCAGGCAGGACGCACAGCCCGCGGGCCCCTGTGCAGCGGCACTGGCCTTGTCACTGAGCACCGCGACCCTGAGCAGGCCTCTTGGCTGCTCTGGGCTTGTTCTGCGTCTATAAAAATTAGGAGGTTTGACTCTCATCTCCAGAGTCCAAGTTCTCAAGTTTGGTGGTTTTTAAAGAAAGTCTATTTCTTTAGAGCAAGTAAATCATGAGAAAGAGCCGTGTAGCAAACTACGTAGCTGAAAATGAAAATGCCACCTACTTTCTCCTCCTCTTATTCAGCATCCTAACTTTGGACCTCCTACATGGAATTTCATACCTTAAACCAAATATACGTGATGTCCTGGCAAAGAACAGTGTCCAACAAAGAAATTAAACTCATTTCTGGTTAAAATCATTGAAAATGAGATGAATGTTGGCGTAACCTCAACATACTCGTTAATATTGCAATAAATTCTTTGGGTCCAGGAAACCCCAAAGAACCTTAAGAAAGTGAACATTCTTTTCCCAGAAAACCGTAAGTGCACACAAAATCTCACGCACGGTTTCAGGAGGATCATAGCTCTGAAGACGATACTTTTTGATACAGAGTTTTGGATTCTGTCTCAATCTCTCTCTTCCTGTTCTCTCTTGAAACCATATTAATCAACATTTCCATCAAAAGTTCTCATCAATGTCACCGTCGTCCCCCATGAGGTTAAATCTGAGCCCTCGCCTCACCTGGCCACTCCCCCTCATCCTTGAAACGGTGTTTTCGGTACAGGTTTCAAGGACTCGACCTTCTCCTGGGCCTGCTCAGCAGCTGTCATGTCTGCACCTTGTCTACAGATTTTGTAAACTGAGCTTTGCATTTATTATACTTTCCTTACGTAAATCTTCCTCCTCTAGAATGAGCCGTGCCAGAGGGCCCGTGAGGAAGGGACAACCGCACCACGGAGGCTACGCCGTCTCAGGAGAAAGTTCCAAATAGCACGATGGCACTTCAATCGGCTGCACATTGGAACGGTAACTTTCTGGCAAAATGGCTACGGATCTGCTGTTGGCACTGCAAGGACAGTGACAACAACAGAGTCGTTTTAACAGCACAAAGACGATGTGTCGCCTGGTCATTTTATTGTTATAAACAGCCAAGTTAAACACAAACTTAGTGCTTATACATAAGTCAGGAGTGATTATGATTTAACTGTCACAACAATGAAAAACAGGCCTTCGGCTCTGTGTAGTCCCTCCGTAAAATGAAGTGGCTGCTTGGAGACTATTCATTACTCCTGCTTACCATCCCAGCAACCCTGACACAACCGTGTTAACGAACGTTCCGGTAGTTTTGACGCGGACCAATACAGAAAAACGATGACTTCCGCTTTCGGGAGAAAGAAACAACCAAAGTGCCTATGTGTATTAATAATCTGTTCACAACAGCAGAGAAGCATCTCCTACTGATTAGATTTTAAACGAGCATCCCGTCAGTTAGGTACTGACTATCGGACTACAGGGACGACGGATGAGAAGTTGGAATGCAGGGATGGAAAAGCAAAGGACTCAGACCACACACCGTGCCATGCAAACTCATCGTGGTTACTGACCCTCAGGCTTCCGCGACTACCCACTGACATGCGCTCATCTTCGTCAGAAGCCTATTAAAAGAAAGGATGAAACAACCGTGAAGTGACAATATAACATACACAAAGACACCAACGTCCAAGTCACAGAGGGCGTGCTGGTCCGACACCACGGCAGTGGGTGGGCCAGCCGCCTCCGAACATCTCAGCGGTCACAAGGCAAGGTCCTTGACAACATGGACTACTTGCGCCTCTGTTGTCGTAGGACTATTTATGAATAATATGGATTTAAACTAATTTCATTAAGGTGGTATTATTTACTTCACAGGTAAAAATACACAGCCTCAGTGTGTATTACTATGCAAATTATATATACATAACCAATAGCAAAAAAAGCACTAAAATTGTCATAAATATATTAATACTTACAAATTTCTCAAATACACTCTCCTTACCAAATTTAGGTCAACACGCTAATAGCCAAGTTCATAGTCTGTGTTTAAGTAATGTCAGTATTAATTAATTTATTTCATAAACATTAAGAGATGATGATATGAGATGATATATATATTTCAGGCACTAAAGTACAAATGAGACTTCGATCACATTGCCTAGGAAGCAACAAGCACAGTACTAACCGATGTGTTTCTTCGGGATCTACGCGAGTAGCGCTCACTGTCTTCCTACCGAAACAATGGAGGAAACAGTTTGAAAAGGTTAGAGACGGACATAGCAGAGGTGCTTTACAAAAGCCAAGATAGTCCCATTGCAACATAATACAGCATTTCTGACCTAAATGTCAAATAAACATATGTCTTGTTTTCGTTTAAAGGCTTTAATCAAACCACTGGAAAATAATAAAAGGGGGAGGTTCTTAAGCACACAAATAATTGGCATATTTCATTTTGCCTTAAAAACGATGTGTGTTGGGGCAGAACCTGAGTCTTAATTTTTTTTTTTTTTGAGACAGGGTCGTACTCTGTTGTATGGGCTGGAGTGCAGTGGCATGATCATAGCTCACAGCAACCTCAAACTCCTGGGCTCAAGCAATCCTCCTCCCTTAGCAAGTAGCTGGGACTAGAGGTGTGCACCACCACACCCCGCTAATTTTTTTTTTTTGTGGAGATGGGGTCTTGCTACATTGCCCAGGCTGGTCTTGAACTCCTGGCCTCAAGTGAGCCTCCTGCCTCGGCCTCCCAAAGTGCTAGGATTACAGGTGTTAGCCACTGTGCCTGGTCTGGGTCTTAATTTTTTTCTTAACCCCTATAATCTGGTCCATTTAAGTCAACCTACTTTTTCTTTTATGTTCACAACCTTACTCTCTCTCCTTGGGAATCAGAAGATAAATCCCACAAAAGATCCAATAAAGATCACCCTATCTACTATACGTTGTGGATTCCAAGGCACACACAGCTTTTCATGCTTGGACATCTCTGAAGTTGGGGGGGTATATCCTATAATCGAAGTTGCTCACAATTATAATTAACATTTTCTTTCTTTCTCAGTGGTATATAAAACAATGATGCATCTTTTAACTGCGTCTTAAGAGTTGGTTAAAATACATCTGCCTGTGCCATGCAAGCCTAAAATGACGGTTTACAACACAGGTTAGATTTAATCATTTTTTCAATAGAGGAAGTGTGTATTCATTATATTTGAAGAACTAGTCTCTTTTATATTATACACAGTATCTAAGATGTTAGGAGATAATTTTACATTTTCATTTGATTATTTCATGTCTAAGGAACATTTAGCAGGGCATTTCCTCCCTGGCCAGGCTCTCAAATGCTAAAAGCATGTGATGATATTTACGAGGGCAGCAGCAAAGCAACAGGGCCAGGAGAAGGAAGAATGACTCAGGCCAACGGATTCCCGAGTGTGGCCATGCTGTCTCGGACCAGTGCAAGGCACATGGAATGCTCCCCTTCCAGAGCCTCCCTCTGTGGGCGCGGCAGCCTCCCAGGAGGGCCAGAGGGACTCCTGTATCACTAGGGGTGAGCTGGCTCTCACCTGACTTAGGAAGGTAGAGGGTGGTTCGAGGAAACAGGTTGAGAAGGTAAAGGAATTTTCTCACCAAAGAGCAGTGGTTTCAGCAGGCACAGCGGACAGGATGAGGAGGGGCCCGACAGCAAGTGCAGATGAAGTCGGATGGGGGTGAGGCCAGCTGGTGGCATCACGAAAGAAGGAAACGCAGAATAACGCACCTCTTGGGCTCTGGCCAGACTTGGTGAGCCGTGGTGGTAACGGGCACATTCACCAGAAGTTCTCAAACCGGGGACACGCGCCCAGGCTGAGTCCCCGTGGACAGCCCTCCGCCCACGGAGTGCAGGGAGGCCGTGGCAGTGGAGACCCACAGACTGCCGGCCCAGAGGCATCAGCAGTCGGTGGCTACTGAACAGGCAAAACGCCTGGCCCAGCGTTTCTAAGCAGGCTCATTTGGGGATGTAAACAATCAGAGACCAGATGCAGAAATCCCCGGAAGAAAATCTCTCGGTATTAAATTATGGTGCAATAGGAATCTATCTACATAATTAAACTGCATAAGAATTAAATTATAAACCATTTAAGTCTTAAAATTGTATTTGAGGCCTACCATCCACTGCTCGATGTCACCCCATTTTGAATCCAGCCCATAATATTTCTACAGACAGAAGGGAAAGAAAATTAGGCAAGAAGGGAAATAGTAATTGTCTAAGAAACCGTTCTGACATGCATTTCTAAATCGCCGCCCAAGCCGCGCAGTGAGGGTGACATGCCAGAGCAGAGCAGTCAGGAACACGCTCGAGTTCTGCAGAGAAAGCCGCCGCCCGCCCAGCCCGTGCAGGTTGTGAGCTGTGAAGAGAGACCCCCCACCCCGGCCCCTCCGCCCCAGCAGGTAAGTCGAGACCAGCAGCATTTCAAGCCCCTCTGTGAAGCTGTTCATGCCTTCAAAGCAAAAGGAATACGAAGGAATAAAACACTGTTTGGGAGCAGCAAAAGCTCAGAGGCATCCCCGTGTTGCTATTAATACATCAGGAACGAGGACACCCAGAGGATGGGGGAACTCTGTGCTGACCCCTTCATGTCTAGTACACTTGTCCCAGCTGCCTGGTGTCTACGCTGAATCTAGGCCCATGGGGATTCACACGCTTTGGCATCTTTAGAGCATGCCATGGGCAGAAAGATGACCATAGCCTACAGAAGAGGTCTTTGTACGGGAAGAAAAATACTCAGACCTGCAAATTACGTTTGGAGCTTACTGTAGGTAATACCTCCACGTGTTTATGGTGTTGGTCTAAACCATAACGGGCCAAGTTGGAATTAGAAAAACAGACTCAGGGAGCCTGTTACCGTCGCTACATACAGTAGCCCCAAAGTTAGGTGGGGACCCAGGTTACAGTCCCAAATAATGGGGTTTTGCTTTTCTCCTTACTTTTTCTTCAATTTCCAATTAGAAAATCAAGAAACAACCTGCCAAACCTCCATATCATATAACACAGATGTGAGTTTTCTCTTTACATATTAAAATCTTATAATCAGAAGAAAAAGTGGATGCTAGAAGTACAAGGCAGTTTTTGACACTGTTTTACAATAACCAAAACATGCTGCTGCTCGGTTTGGTTTAGTTTCGTTTTGAAGGGCAGCCAGATTTAAAATCTACAGCCCTCCGATGGTCTCCTCCCACTCTTAGAGATGGCGGTAAGTAGAAAGTTGGAAGAAGAAAAATTAGGAGGGAGCATTTACCAATGCTTTTACAAATTCAACACTGAACTCTAACACAAAAAGTAGATGAGCCACATCTTTTTCAGTAAGTTATTTCCTTAAATTCGTAAAGGAAATAAAAGCGAGCACTTCCCAAAGTCGTGTTTTAACTTCAATTTCAGTGAAATGCATCAGCTGAAAGCTACTGCGTTCAGTTAACGTTGGCTCCTGCCCAGTTCCAGCTTTTTCCCTGTAACACGTGATGCCACCACCCCGCCTTTATCTCATGGCTTAACTTCAAACATAGAAGAAAAATAGGTTTTTTAAAAGGAGGGGGGAGAGGCTATATAAATTCACAATAAACTCATTTAAATTCCAAAAGAAATCTGTATTATCAGTTTTTCTATTTTCATATTTTTCTTTTTGCCCCGTTATATACCTATATAAAATACTGCACATTATTTATTGCTCTTTTCATGATAAAAATAAGAACAAGTATTCAAAATCTTCCACCTCGTTCACAGGCAGCCTTGTCGGTAGCTACCGTAGCCTCAGCTGCATTTCCACGTCACTCCAGGCGGGGACGACACCCGTGGAGACAGCCAGCGCCATTTGCTAGTAGTTCCCATGTTAGCCACCCGCACCCGCACGGCAAAGTCCAGAAAGTGCAAAATATTCCCAACGTAAACCACTGCGATCAGCCGGTGAGTCATGCAGACAGAAGCACGAGCCACGCCAGAGCAAAAGGTGCTTGACTTTCAGAAACAGCTTTGACTCAAGAGAAACCATTACACAAAGCAGCCAGCTGGGCGGGGAGGAAGGCTGACTGCCTGCCTCCTTTTCCTCTGCATAAATCTCCGTGCTGAAGAAAGCCTTCCCGTCCCCTGGGCACACCTGCGTGACAACGCTGAGCACTGCGCTTCTGCTGCGGACGTGCACTGGGCACACGCCCTTCCTGACCAGGTTCTCACCTTGCGTCCCTGGTGCGTTTGTGGAGGGAAAATGACAGTGACCTAACACAGGCCGGGGGTGGCTGCGAGCGGAAAGGACTGGACGGGGCCCCTTTTCTAGGTTTGGGACGACAGCGCGGGCCCCAGCCTTGCCTCTGACCTGCCGGGGCTTGTCCACACTGGGGATGACAGGGACTCGGGCTTCAGGATCCATTTCAAAACTTGGGCCCTAGAAACACTAACAGGTGCAGAGATTCTGGCGTCTACGTCACTCATTTCTTTGCACTCGTCAGGACAGGCGTTCGGCAGAGTGAAGGAGGCGGAAGGGAAGGCCATACGGCTCTGTGGCCGGCGCAGGAAGCCAGCACACCAGGCTGTCACATGTCCCGACAGGGTGCTGAGAGGGCCTGCGCGCTCTGCCCTCGGAGAGTGACTGACCTTATTCTCATCTTCTTAGCTGCTCTAAGAGAATAACACAGTTGTATTTTATCTAGAAACTAAAATTCATAAAAAGAAACTATTACAGATGTCATCAGTAACAAACTAAAAGCATTTATGGGCAAGACTCGCTTGTATGCAAATTCTGTAAATTCGCAGGGAACCGCTCTCTCTTGACCTTATTACTGCTGAACCATGAGTCATCGACTTGCTCTTTCTCTCTCTTTTCTGAGCCCGGCCTGCTTGGTGTATTCATTGCTAAACCTCAGCCGACTCTACACAGTACTAGGAAATGGGGATGCGCGTTAGTTTGGAAACTCTGAGTATTAGGGATGGAGGGCAGGTTTATTTCATTGCTATGTCTCTGTCTTTCTTACTCGTTTTTATTGTAAATCAATATCTAATCATCTCTCAATAGGTGGTAATTTGCATTGATATTTTAAACGTTTTATAAGAAAATTATCTTTTTCTTTCAATATATGATTTCAAAAGGCTCCTTAAATTCTGAAACATGATTTTGTTTCTTAGTTTTTTTCTCAAGGAAACAATTTTCTATCATCTTGAGGAAAATGGAGACGGGAAAGGCATTCAGTACACAGGAATGTGTCTGGCTGTGGCTTTTCCTGGGGCTGGAGCGGGGACCTAGCGTTCTCGTTCAAACAAATTCGCACACAAGGCAGTGAAACGAGAGTCAGAGCTTCTGCGTCTCTCCAATGCAAGGCGTTATTTCTGAAAGGTGCCCAGGCCCTTGGCAAAGAAAAATTAGTCCATGCAAATTACAAAATAAAGAAGGAAGAGCCTACCTTTTGGACCTGATAGATCTATAGAAAAGAACAAAAGAAAAAGGGGAAGAAATATAACATCCAATTAAAGAAGCAGAAACATCAGAAAGAAAGGTTCTATAAATAGAAATATGAATAAAAGCCATACTGGGAAAGAAACAGTGAATACTGGTAAAATGTGCATGAAATAGTGTCTGTGGTCCCACTGAAAGAATTAGTAGATTCATTACTTACTTCACGTTCCACTTTGGATATACTGGAGAAATACGGGTATACCCACATGAATCTCTACCACAATCCTGCTGTCGTTCTAATGCAGAAATTTGTATAACCTAGTACCATAAAAGGGAAAAAACACTTCTCCATCTTTAATTTGAAATTTCTTCTCATACTACTATAGTAAAAGTTTAACCAGAAAGTACAGAAACTTAATTGGAAAGTCAACCGGTCAAATTCACAAATAATGAAAAAAGAGGCTTTGATGTTCTGATTTATGCCGACACATACAGAACACGAGGAAAATGCCAGCTAAACAGAGCGACCATTAGAATATCACTGAAATAGTAAAAAAGAAGTTACTATCAGACATTGACACATGAGTTTGCTTCAGAGTTTTCTAATTTTGTAGTAATCACTAGGCAAGGCTGAGGTATCTACTCATTTTCATTCATTCATTCAACAAAACATTTGTGTCAGGCACTGTTCAAGGCCCTGCCAAAACTGTAAGACTAGATTTAGCGTTTCGAGTCATATATGGGGGAGCTCAGGTGAACACAGTCAATGCTGTGATGATAACAGACACAGCACCTCCGACCAAAATGTTCCCCAGTCAACAGCAATGAAGGAGATGCACCCTGATCCGCACTGTTTTCTAGTGCGGTAGGTTCTTCTAATGAAGTTCAAGGTTCACCTGGATTCCCCAAAGAAGATCTACATATAATTTTCCCCTAAAAAGGAGCTCATATCCTTTTAAACAGCCCCCAGAGCACAGCTAACATAAGCTGGAGTCCAGTCGGTCCTCACCACGTGCAACTGCTGAAAAGAATCATTAAGGAGAGCTCAGGGTGGGCTGGAGCCCGCCTGTATCAGACACACAGGCAGCCAGTTTGCTGCCCTCCCAGGCGTGGTGACAGACTGCGGGGTCCTCCCCACACTGCTGTCTCTGCTGTCTCTCCTCCCTGCACGCTCTGCACGTCCTCCCCGGGGGATCCCGGCCCCAGTCACCAGCTTCCGCCCTCCCCAGTGTTCTCACCGCGTCTTCCTGCTCAGAAAAAACCCTCGGCCGCTCAGAAACACCCGTGTGCAGGTGGGAAGGCTCGCTACCCAGATGAAAACAGGGATTGTAGCTCTCAATTTTTACACCAAAATATCAGCCCTACCAGTTAAACACTGGTCTTCCAAAGGGTATTCATTTCCCCTTAATCAACAACTTAAAATGCCAGCGCCCCAGGTATCAGGTTGTACGACTTCAGACTGCGTCAGCTGGTTCTCGCAACAGCCAGGCCCAGAGATGTGATATGCAGAGGCCGGGGGAGGTGCTGTCGGCACACCTTCCTAAATCCTGCAAGCTCCGAGCCCGTTAGCCGGACTCACTCTTCCCTCTAGACGCACACACAGATGGTCGTGGGCGCGCACACGTGTGCACTTCCCCGCCCCTGGATGGGGGTCAAATCAAGGGACAGCTAGGTGAATAGCTACTGCTTCAGTGTTTTCTGTAAAACTCTTGCTGACAAAATTGTCCATTTTATTTTTGATATTCTGTGCCTTGAATTCAGCACCAAGGAGAACCTTGGTTTTCGAGGCATGTTTGCACTTGGAAAATGACTAGGATTACGTGGCCCGGTCTACTTCCCCCTTTGCTGTGGGTGCCGGCAAGCTGGTGCCAACCTTAACCCCATGGTCAACACACCCATTTCATCTTCTGTTTTGTTTGTTTTTATTGCTTATTACAGAATTGACTTCAAGGCAGAGGCGGGGTGTGCTGGGAAGACCACAAGCTTTGCAGTCAGTCAGATCTGGACTTAAACCTGGCTGGGCCATTTTCTCAGCTTCTGGGAAAACTGTCTTAACCTCTATAAGGCTCATTTTCTTCACCTGTAAAATTTGGGAAAATGCCCCTCACAGACTGTGACAGTACCGAAGCCCAGTGCTGCGACCTGGCAGGGGCTCTGGGATGTCCACCCTGCCTGGTCCTCTCTGATTAGTCACAAAATATACATCTACGTTATTTTAAATCTTTCAAATACCTGTTTATACAGGAGCAGACATAAATAGTAATGCTGTTGTATGTCAAAGATCCTAAATTTATAATGGTCAAATTGTCCCTTTTATGAGTGAGAGCTGCTGGGTTGGCTGGACCAGAAAAAGGACAGTGGCCGAGCCAGGACGTCTCCTCCACCCAGCTCTCACCTCCCAAGGCAGCCCTTGCCTGCCACACCTGTCCTCTGCTTCCACAAACGTGGCTTTTCCCACCTCGAGCTGCCTTGGCCAGTGTCCCACTTGCTGTCTTGGTCACATTCATTTCTCTGCCCCCTCCCTGACGTGTCCCCTGCCTTCCAGGGCCCTCATTTCACACACCGGAAAGGAGTGTGGGGTCACCAGTCACGCGACTCGACCCAGGCAGGAGTCTGCCGCCGTGCTCGGACACCTTCACGTCATCACAGCCTGCGCAGAAACCTCAGTGACGAGGCTGATCCACAGAGGATAGCTGGAAAAGGCGACGTTTGCCAAATCTGCTTTCTCTCAAGGGACACCACGCTTTCTGTTGCTCCATGAATTAATATAGATGTGTTTGCAGACAGGATTTGTCTTAGGAGTTTTTCAGGGCTTTGCCCTGAAGGAACATGTGAACGTGTTGGTTTGCATTTCAAATGCTGTTGCACCCGGAAGGAAGGGTGTCTCTGAAAGACAGTAGCGGCTGTATCCCACGAGGCGCTGCGTTTCTCAGACCTAAAGGTTTGGATTTGCTTTGTAAAGCAAAGCGAATCTGTTAAAAACTACAGGCTGAGAGCTGACAATGGAGTGCCCCCCGGAATAGACAGCTGCCCAAATGGCTATAAGCAAAGCTCTCGTTTAAACAGTCCAGACTGCCTGTCTCCATTCACAATAACCTAATAAATATGGAGCCAACATATCTCTGTTTAACCCCTCTGTTAAGTGATAAACTTACCTTAGAACTTAGAAGTTAATCTTTGAAAGATTTTCTAACCATTTGTTCACGTAGATAGAATTAGTTAAAGGATCTGTAGAAGCCTTTTGAAAATCTGTTAACCTGAGAGGAACTACCTGTTGTTACGTAAATCTGTTACCCCTGGCAATTAATCACTATTCCCTGTAAGTTACCATGTAAGACCTCATTCGGGGCTTTTTGAGACCCACGGAGAAGGTCTAGGCCCCCTGAGATCCCGCTTTGCCTATAATCTTCATAAACTTATAAAACTATATCTTTGTCTCTGTGTACTTTTATTTCTTTTATTTTCCATTTTTCTCTATTATTTTCTTATCCCTTACAATTCTACCAAAGGGACCCGGTTTTTTGCGGGGAATGTTGGCCACGTTCCCGGCAACTTTCCTCCTGGTCCTGTCTCAGTACAGCCCTGTCTGAGAGCGCAGACCGAAATCAGCAAACCGTTGTCGTGGCGGACGTTCCTCGGAACTTGCATCAGGACAAAGCGTTTTGATCCCTGGGAACCACTGAAATGTCTTTACGATAGAAGGGAAACATGCCCTGGGATGAACGATTTCAAAATTGTAATGCGATCTACTCACCAAATGACACTTGTATGTTTGTATGACTGTGGTACTTTAAACCAGATTTCCCAGGATTTAATTGGAGTTTCTCTGCAAAGCCCACGCTAGTCAGCAGGTGTCGAATACCTGAGGGCTGCTCTGGATGGGGCGTGGGCTCTGCAAGTCAGGGACCCGGGTGTGAATCTCAGCGCAGCCCTCCAGCTGCCCTGGGCCTGGCTTCTTTCTCCTGTGTGTGCAGTGGGGGCTTCCCTGGGCCTGGCTTGATATATTGCAACTGAGATGCAGGAGTTCATCAACAGATTACTCCTATGCTGTAGAATTAAAATGCAACAGGAGAGGACTCCTTTTGCTCAAAGGAAGAAAGGGATGCTTTGCTTTTAAAGGAAGCTGTTTGAATAGATGATTTTGTGGCTTCATTCATCTCAATTTTTATTTTCTAAACCAACAACTTTTTCCCAAGAACTCTGTAACAAGCTGCTAATATCATCATGTATTTATTTAAATCAATTCTACCCCTAATTAAGGATAGAATGTATTTTATCTAAATGTATAATTTGGAAGACAGGTATGCTATATAATACATTCTCACCTTGATTTTGTAGAAATCTTACATTTGTATTCTCGGTGAAAGCAACTTTCCCTTACGCTGCCCTTGAGATGAATGACGGGATGGCGGCTAATACCGCATGGAAACCGAAGGAGGCCCCACTCACAGCACCCCTCCACCCTTCCCTCGGCTTGGCCACTCCCACAGGACTGAGGACACGGCCCCACAGAAACCACCAGCAGGGCGGGGGACTTAAATCCAATCAAGCATGGCAGAATCTGGCAGAACAGCAAATTATCTGAGGAAATTCTTCTCACAACTCTTCTATGACCTTAATAATAATAATAATAAAGACCGTGTCCCTATTGGGGAACCAGGGGAGGCAGATTAAAACCAGATGCGCCTCGGAGCTCCGGCGCCAGCCACGAGCCCTGCAGAACGAGGCAGCCATGCAGCCTGAGAAGCGGTAGCCGCTGCCTCTGGGACTAACTCCTGTCCTGCCCTGCCACGGTGTGGCTTCTAGAACAGATGGAAGGGGCTAGCAGTGGCCGGCACACGATGAGCCTGAAGTGTCTACTGACATATGAACAGAAATAGTCTACAGAGAAAGTGCAGTTTGAAAAGCAATCGGTATCTTGTCGTTTAAAATTCATATTTTAGAAAACCAGATCAGAACAAAAGAAGTATTCCACTTGGTGGCCTCCAGCAGTGCTACATGGAGCAGAGCTTGAGTGTGCGGGGGCTGCTCGGTGTCAGGATGGCTCCCAAGGCAGGTGACACTGCCCCCTCCTCTGCCCACGTATTTCCATGTGGAGTGGCAAACTCCCCAGGCAGGAAGGGCAACGGGTACCTCAGGCTGGCGGCCGGGGCCTTGTCCCTACAGGGAATGTGACCGGCTTTGTCCTTGTTGGGATCATGGCAGAATCGGCAATGGTCTTATGGGAAACTGGAGATTCAGATTTTTATCTCAAATCTCACAAATTTTAAAAACTGGTTTGACTTCTTAAATGTCACCATGAGAGCCAGACGAGAACCTGTGTATGAAAACCAGCCCTGGGGAAGGCAGCTGGTGACTTCTGCCCAGCACAATAAATTCACATCTTTCTAACAAGAGAGGCCCTTTCGGCTGGGGCCAGGTGTGGGTGGAGAACGTGAACCGGCAGGGGCGAGGCCTCCCGCCTTTGCGGTCACGGACCCACCCCGAGTTGAAGAGCCCTCGTGCTGCCAGAAACGACCTCTGGGTCCAGCTCGAGAGGATGGAAACAGGTGCGTCCACATTCACCGCCCACATTCCGGGGCGGGGGGCTGCTCCCCGGCTACTTCATCCATGATGTTTCCTCTCTTCTCTGCATCACGCAGGCCTCGGGGGTCCCGAAACCTACCGTAAAAGCCTTCGGGGAAATATCTACCAATGAAACAATTTGGTCAGTTTAAAAATTACTAATCTATTCTTCTTGCCCATTTAAATTCGAAGGACCTAATTCTAGTTCGATAGTTGGACCTTGAAGTTCAGCCCAGCGCTCTGGGCCCCCCTCAGCCAGAGGCTGGCCAAGGAGGGTCTCCACCGGCGCGGGGCCCACACGCTCGTCTCAGGGTCCCACAGGCCACGGTCTGGGGCAGGCCGGGCCTGCGCATGCGCACTCCCGCCGCGCACGCGCACTGCACCGCGGGCCGGGTGAGACGGCCAGGCGCCTCGGCAGCGACAGGTGCCTCCGCATTCGCACGCTGGGCCTGAAATGAAAGTCACCGTGAAAAGACCCAGCGAAGAGCCCCCCGCGTTACCTCCTTCTGCTGCCGCTCCAGCTCCTTCATGCGGATCTCGCGAGCCTCTGCACGGGCCGCGCGCTTCGCCGCAAGCCGGGCCTCCGCCTGAAAGAGAGCGGACATCCGGTTAGAGGGCAGACAGCTTCCCAGGACACGGTCAGCAGTGATGCCGCTGAAAGAAAATCTTGTTCAGACTGAAGAGGCAGACGACAATGAACCCCAGACTCATTCAGGTTACAAGGGTGGTCAGGAGTGACAGCGATGGTAGCTATAGGAACTGCTACCATTTGCCCAGCCCTTTCAAATGCCAAGAGGGCGCTATTCTAAGCACTTCATGGATAATACATTATGCCACGTACTCCTCGAAACAGCCCCACTGGGCAGAGACTGTTACCATCCTCGGTTTATACATGAGGGACCACGGCACAGAGAAGCTAAGTAACTTGCCCAAGGTCACACAGCCTGTAAGTGGCAGGGCTGGGCAGTCTGCCTCCCTCTGAGCTACGACAGACACACAGAGCGGAGCGTCAGAGCTGGATGCTCCTGCAGGTTTCTAGTTCGACCCCTCACTTGACAGAGCAGGGAGTGGAGGCCGGGGAGGCTGCCAGACTGAGATTACGGGGCTGCTGGCCTGGCGCTGGGACTCACCCCCATTCTCCAGACTCCCAGCCAGTCACCTCAAAGCACACCTGCACCCTCGGTCTCCCCTTCAGCCCTCAGCCCCGCAGTGCCGGGAGCCCACCTTTTCTCAAGAAAACGAAGATCAGAGCAAATGGTTCTAGCTGTTAGAGTCCTTCCTAATGTTTAAAAAAAACAAAACTGCCTCCATTTAACGGTCTTTCAACTCGTAGCTGTTCTGCCAGATTCCACCTGAGAGCGCTGAAAATGCTTGGCGAGGGACGGCCAATGCATGCCCTCGAACCTGGCATTTATGTTCATGTTTCATGTTCTATGATTCTCATGCTGTTCATTATTTCATGCAGAACAGCCCAATGACATAGATGGCAAAAGTGTTCCAGAATTTGGGTTTCCTGGTATCAAACAAATCCCATCTTCTTTCCACTTAAGTTTTTTTGGGAATGCATATCCTCACACCAACGGTTCTCTAAACACAGTTTTCAGGGAACTCACATCATCTTTGTTTTTGTTGAGAGAGGGTCTTGCTATGTTGCTCAGGCTGGAGTGCAGCGCCTATTTGCAGGTGCCATCAGTACACTGCAGCCTCGAACTCCTGGTCTCAAGCAATCCTCCCACCTCGGCCTCCTAAGGAGCTGGGATATAGGTGGTTGCCCCCATGCCCGGCTCCTAGGGAATCTTAAAGCAGAGCCTTCAGAGATGGCCAGCGTGCTTTTGGCGGGGTCTGTGGCCAGCCAGCAGCAAGGTGGGCTGTGGGCGCTCTGCCCGGCGGGCTCACGCCAGGAAGGGGGTCCTTATGTCAAGGGCCACCTCCTCCACACAGTGCGTGTATTACAAATTTATTTTCTTTCTGAGTTCTCATCTGAATTGAAATTGGCCGTGGGTGATCTGCCTTCCAGGTCGGCCTGCCTGTGTCCTCACAAGGAATTTGTTCTATAACTCGGTTCATTCACGTGGCTCCTTTATCAACCCGCCCATGTCTTTCAAATCAAGGGGTGTCAGAAGTCACAAATGCAACTGAGTTTGATCCCTCCTTGCCGTTTTCGATTTCCAAGGCCACGGCTTGTTTCGTGAAGGGCGGCCGGAGTCTGTGAAAAGGTCCAGCACGGCGGGAGGAGCTGGGGAAGGAAAGTGCATCGCACTGACTTCCTGCGGCCCCCAGCCGCCAGCAGGCCAGCGAATGACGAAGGCCACCCGTGGGGAGGCACGTGGCTCCGTGCCCGCTGGCTCGGTTTCTAAGCCAGTAGGTAACAGGCAAGCGCCCTCACAGCGGCCTTAGCCCCTCAGCTTGGGAGAGGAGGAAGAGAGGGTGCACTGGGAGAAGGGGCCAGGGGGCCAGGGAGGAGGGATCAGGTGAGGACACAAGGAAGGGAGAAGGAAGCTGCCACCAGATGGGGATGGGAGGAGAGGAGAGTGGTCAGCAGAATTCTGGGATGGTCCCTAAGACCTACCACTGGTGTACACGCCCTGTGCAGCCCTCTGCCCCGGCGTGTGCGGAATGAGAATGTGACGGATGCTGGAGCGTTATATGGCAAAGAGAATCGCACAAATAATTGAGATCCCTCATCAGTTGACTTTGAGTTGAGCAAAAAGGACATTGTGCTTGGTGGGCCTGCCCTAATCAGGTGTGGCCTTTAAAATGGGGTCTAGGCGTCAGCGAGCGTCTCCTGCTGGCCTGGAGAAAGCAAGCTGCCATGTGCGAGGGGCCTGTGAGGGGCAGCACGGCCTCGGAGAGCTGAGAGCAGCCCCAGCTGATGCCAGCAGGAACAGGGACCCTCAGTCCTACAACCACGGGAAGTGAATTCTGCCAACGAAACCATGTGAGCTCAGAAGAGGACTCTGAACTCCAGAAAGACCCCAGCCTGACCGACACCTTGACTACAGCCTTGTGAGATCCTGAGCGCAGGACACAGGCTCGGCCCAGAATCCTGGCCACAGAAACTGTGAGATTGTAAATGTGTGTTATTCCAAGCCGCCGAGTTGGTGGGTATTTGTTATGCACCAACAGATAACCGAGGGAAGGAGGCGGGTGTGAGATGACCCCTCTGAGCTGAGGGGGTCCTGAGCACCCGCACGACCCCGCCCCAGCCTGCCTGTCCAGCTCCCCATCCTCTCAGTTTAGCTCTGCTTGGATCCCTGAAAGACCACCTGCCTGAGCATGTAGCACCTGCCATGTGGAGCTCCCTCTCGGTGTCCTACCCCCGAGTGACAGGCCTCCCAAACAACACTCCATCGGACCTTGGACCTCTGCGACTCTCGTGGGGCCTGCTGCCAACTAGGGAAAGGTTCCGGTCAAGTGCTGCCCTCAGCCTAACGTGTCCCTCCTGTGCATGAGCATGATGGCATTCGAAGACTAAAACCAGAAACCCTTGCTTTGAGGGACACAGGCTTGGGCTGACAGCGGAACCACACAAATGAGCCAAGTTACACAATAAATTCCTTGAGGATACGAGCAAGTCAACCTTGAAGACAGATCAACTATGCCGATTTTTATATTCGATTAGAATTTAGAAAGAAGATAAATTTGTATAATAATTCAACACAGTTTCAAATCCAAAGTGCCTGCATCTCGTAGGATTCCCGTGTGACTCCCACGTGGAAAGCAGAGCGCTTGTAACGCAGGGAGTGGTGACCACCGCCTCGCCTCTTGGAGTCTGCCTAACTAAAATCCCACAAATGCACGCGCCAGCGCTACACCAATACAAACCTGTGCGTGGCATCCCCACAAGCACAAAACTGGGCCCTTATCAGCAGAACAGCTCTTGACATTAGCTCGAGATGCTTGCGAGAAAAACCATACAGAGTTTTGACAAAATTCATCCCACGACAGCCTGGCGGAGCATGGCAGATAGTGATCACTGACACAGTCACCATGAAGTTGCTGGGGACGATGCGGACAGTCCAGCCAGTTCTTTGGGCCCGTGCTTGGATGGTGCAGGATAGTCCTGCCTGGGCCAACTCTACTGTAAAATACACAATCTTGTGACGGCAACAGCCACGTCAGATTGCTCTAAGAGTCCCCAAACACTTCCTTTCCGTTTCTGTACTTAGCTTGTAAGGGACCAGAGACAGCAGGGACCTAACTCACGCAGCAGACCACCAGAGTCAGCCGGCGACAAGTTTCCAGGGATATAGGCACAGCAACTGGCGACAACGTATAAGTGACGAGGGCCACAACAGGGCAAGGAAAGCATGGTGGGGGCTGCTCTGGAGAACCTGACCCAACCCCAGGAGCTGGGGAAAGCAGCCGCAGGACACGAGCCCAGAGCCGAACCCTGCACAGCAGACAGCAGAGAGCCAGGGCTAGGGTGCTGCGACCAGGGGCGAGGGACGCGGCGGGAAGTGCGCAACCTGGGGTGCAGGCCTCCCTCTCAGCCTCCCGTCTGCAACCTTGTCTTGAAGGAATTAGGAACCACCGAAGGGTCTTAAGAAAGAACACAGTGGGGTCTGACTTCTGTTTTAGAAACACGGCTCTGGCTGAAACGTGGGCAGGAGGTACGGGGCGAGGGGACGGGAGGGAGGGGACAGGAAACCCGAAGTGAGTAAGGAGGCTGCTTTGAGCACAGGGGTAGAAACAGAAACAGCTGGCTGCAGAACTGCGTGCTAGGATCAAGCTTCGCGCTCGGGTCAAGGCTGCGAGGCACAGTAGGGAGGTGAGTGGACACTGGAGGAACGGCCGGGGTCCCAGGGGTCCCAAGGAGAGCCCATGAGGACCCAATGCTAGAGGAACCCTGGAGAAGAGCCCTGGCCCCTGCCACCTCCCAGAGGCTGGTGGCACCCAGGATGCCTACCACACCCGACACCAGGGGCCTCTTACTGCCGCCTGCCTGCCTCAAGGGCCCCGGCGGATTTGGAGTTGGGGATGCCCTCACGTGAACCCTCTCCAAGCTCCCAACTTCAGGGGAGATGACGATGACCAAATGAAGCTGGCAGGACTGAAGGGACAGAGAACTGAAGGGACAGAGAAAGGCAAGTGGGTTTATGGAATTTAGGGTGCAAAGTAGAAACTGCAGAGGGCTTCAAAGAGCAGTTCAGAGGACAAGACTGTGCACACCCCACCCGCCCCTCAGTCCCTCACGCTGCAGCTCCCGCCCCCACTGGCTGATGTAGAACAGCTCGCTGTCATCTCAGCCCCAAGCAGGGCTACGGCTGGGATCCCAGCAGCTTCTGCGGCCCCCACTGGGGCCCTGGGGCTGCTCTCTGCCCTCCCCACAGAGCCCACAGGGAAAGGCAGAGGCGGCTGAGCAAGACCTCGGCTACTCCCCGGCATGGTGGCTCCACGCCAGACACTCTAGAAATGGCGGACTCTAGACCCCGAAGCCTCCCTTCTCTGCTGAAGACCGTCTTTGCTGAGATACACAGTAAGATATTTAAGGGTACGACCATAGGATCTCTCTCTGAGTTGTCTCACAATAACTGGGTGTGGAGTGCATGGGGTGTGAACAGCTACGAGCTGGCCACTGTTGAGG